TCTCTCTCTCTCTCTCTCTCTTACTCCCTCTCTCTCAGGTTATCACGAATAGTTTTTCGGATAACGAACCACTGGACACTAACAATGAGATCTGTTTCTCGTAATTGCATGCCATGGGTGGGTTGAAGTACTTTGGAAGGAAAGTCCTCCTGTACAAAACGCGTTTATTTTTTCTATTAAGTTCATATTCTATTCGAAGCAGCCAGTTGAGTCCTCTGCCAATTTGCTAGTGTTTAGTTTTTATATTAGAGTACCATTAAGATGTTAACGTATATTTGGAATCAAATGGATTGTGTCAGACAAATATTTTTTCCTTATCGTTGTCAATTTCGCAAATTGAAAGCTTTAGTTAATTAATTGTTTGAAATAAACCTGTAGTTGTCTGAACCGTATTGCAGAACCGCTGGCCTTTAGCATTAAATGCAATGGAGGATTGAATTTATATATAGAACCAATAGTAAAATTAACAATAATAAGCACATAAATTACGCCAGAATATTATGTTACTGCAGACTGTGGAATTTTTTGTTTATATTCTAAAATTCTAAAATTAACTTTTTTAAATGAAACTCTTATTTGAAATATGTGTCACTGAGCATTGATCCATTGTAATGAACGCCATAGTAGCGCACTGATTTCTTTGTGTAATTTTCTATTTGGTTTATATTCAAGCCGCAAATGAATCTTAGTTTATTGTTCTTCAATAGATTCAAATTAATTTATTTATTTTTAGAATAATACGAATATTTTCGGATAGTTTAGCCCACTCTTCAAGTTAAGACCCATCTTTTAAAAGAATTCTTTTAACTTAACCGCTTAAGTTTATTCCTTCGATGGTGTTCCTTTTCTGACACGCGGAAGTATATACCCCAGTGAACCCGTAAAAGCACAGATGTTATATTCGATTGATGAATGCATTTTATTCAATCTAATATGGGTCATTTTTTATAATGACCTTTTGTAATTTTTTTGATAAAAAACTTATGCCATTGCCGTAAGATTTCTATGACTTTTGATCGGAAATCTGAAACAAGTCCCTTTCGAAAACTTTTCTGAAATTACACCATTAAGAAAGTTCTGCGGAAAGCGAAACAAAGGAGGGTCGGAGGAACAAATTATGGATGCATCAGAACTCTTCAATGAACCTCTCGATTTTTGCTAAACTATTAAAAGTGCATATGGGATGGCATTTTTCCTCGTCCGTCATCAACCTCAGTAAAAATTTCTGATTTCGTTTCAACCATTAAATTGTTCGCTGTTAACTCATGTGATCCCCCAAAAAATGTGATCCCAAAGAAAACTGGTTTTTGACCGATGTTTAGTTCCGCAGCAATATTATAAGACCAAATGTAACGATCTTCGACAATTGTTTGAAAAATTTAATCCATTTTATTAGCGATTGCACGTCCTTAACTTCGAAACTTGCAGAACGGACCAAAGCAATTCATTTATCTGCTTCTGATAGTGATGAAGCATCTTCGCTACAAACGTCACGAACTTTTTCACAAGCCTGCAACCTAACACTATCGCCTTATCCAATGTTAAAATGCAAAATACACAACAAAGTTTTTCAAAATTTTTGATTATTATTTTTAAAATGCAAAAACTTTCGACTAAAAGGACAAATATTGCTGTGTTTTCTTTTTTAAATTATCTATGGGGTATTGCTTTTCATGGCTACTTAATATGACTTGATAGAGTCACTTTTGCGAAATGTACAGGACTTTAAAGCTATCCACAGGGAAAAAAGCCTAACATAATTGTAAGTCGATTTAGCAAATCTCAGCTATTCGTTGACTTGCATGTTGCCTTTTACTAAAGTACTTACGGTAGCAAAACTTGATATAACACGTTGGAACTTAAGACATAACACGTTGAGCACAGTGTTTCTTGTATTGTTTCTATATCACCAATTGAGAACAGTAAAGTGACGCAAGATATGAGGAAAAACGCGAACGTTTTTCCGATATGATATCAAAACTTCTAATTTTCATAAAGGCAAAAAATGAAATGGAAAATTGACAAGGAGTTAATACAATACACTAAACGAAGAACGAATTTACATAATCTGTGCGACACAACAACGGCATCACAAGTCTATCACAGAATATTTTCTCTACTGTTTCTCTATTTTAATAACATCACTTTATAATACGCTTGGCACTGGAGAGTATTATTATAGTTATTGCTCCAGCACAAAGTTGCAAAAATCATGACAAGAGAACACGGCCCCCACAGGCACTTGTAGTTGTTGCAAGTGTGACAGATCACAACGTTTGGCTCATTCATTTTTTTATTGTCAACATATTTTGTAAATATACCAACAATGTATGGACGATTTAAAGGCTACCGGATCACTTCGATCATATGCTCGCCTGTATGGGAAACTCCACCACATTTGAGATTTGAACCCGCGCACATTGGGTTGCTAATCGCGACCCTTTCGCTACCCGACTATTTGTAATTTTGAACGCATCCTGTTCAATTATGTTTTTGAAAGCCAGTCTTCTAAAAATTAATAGTTCCGGCTTGTCTTGTGTAAGGGAAATGTCTACTGATTATATTATTGTAACTCCTGGTCAAAAAGAGAGAAAATAGAAGAGTTCTTAAGAACCGGTTAATTTATCGGCTAAACTCAGTGCTAAGTCTAGAGAGCGCAATAAAAAACATTTTCCTGAATAATAAAATGAAATATGTTTTGCACAATCACTAAAGTTGAATAAAGATTACTTGCCAACTGCAAGAGTACTAAATTACGCTCAGATGATTTAATTAAATTCGATATAAATATTTTACACTCTCAGTAATAGAAAGTGAAAGTACGCCTATGATTATTACTGCACACTGAAGACCTCACTAAACGCATTTTGTTCTTTAATAAGATAGTTTTTTTCAGCTCAAAGCATACAAACACAATATATATATGTATTAACTTTGTAGACATAAGCATATCCTTGGAGGTTAGAAGCGAAGCTAAGACTCTGTAGCCATTCTCGGTGGTGGGCAACAAAATTGCTAAAGAGTAAAAATATCTATGGATCATTTTCATGAAATCTTTTAAATAAATCTTTAAAGGTATATACGATATTCTTCTAGTGTTGGTGTTTTCGATAACCAGCAGTTTAATTAAAAATAATAAAATTCATATTTAACAATGCATTCGTTGCACTTGACGGTAAATGAAATAAAATAACACACCTAGCCTTTTTTTTGGGAAATTTCAGATTTCTTATTACACATGTATTTATTTAAATGCACTCACTTCCACTCATTTGTGCATATACGCAAATATGTACAAACTTTTACATGCAAGTATACGTATGTGCGCGTATCTATGCACACGTACGTACGTATGTATTGTTAAGTTCTGTGAAGGGTGATTAATCAGATAACAAGTTAATGTGATAACTATGGGCATCAATTTATTTTCGAGCCAATAAACTATATATTTACTTTTTTCACATTTTTACCAAGTTCAAAATGATATGCTAAATGTATGCTAAAACAAGTTCAAAAACATTTTTATATAAAAAGTATTAGCATTTTTTATATAATAACAACCACACAACTGATACGCACGGAAACACACACAAGCACACTCCATATTGGACGGGTGCGGTTTTTTTCTGTTTTTTATATTTCCATTTATTTTTTGTAATTTCAAATATGAATATAATTAGGAAGTTGTTAATTAACCTTGCTCCACCTCCTTTTCATGCACATACATAATATTATGAAATCAAAGAATATGCAAAAATAAAAAAAAGCAATGCAAAAATAATAAAAAAAATAAAATCTCCAAAAATTGCAACGGACATACCTCAATTTCTTTGCGATAAAAGTCTTCGATTGTGGGATCATACTTTTCAATAAAACATCCAGATACAAATTGCACTGTTAGAGCAGACTTGCCCACACCTCCAGACCCCAGAACGACAACTTTGAATTCACGCATTGCAAACGTTGTTGTAGTTGTTGTGACTACTGCTCGTTAATAATGTTGTCGCTAGTAGGTGAAGTAGTTGATATTCTGGTGTTCGATGACGGCTAAAACAACTGTCTGCCTTCCTGCCTGACTGCCTCCCCACTCCACTGCACTTTTATTGGTTGATGTTGTTATTCTTGTTTTTTTTTTTTCTTTTGTAATATATAAATTTCAATAATGCTTTATCCTTATTTTGAGCCCTCTTCACGTTTTCTATTTAATATTTTTCACTCTTTGTTCGTTTGTCAAAACACTTGCACTTTTTCACTTATTTTAAATAAAAATGTTTTTTTTGTTCTTTGCCTTTTTATCCTAACTATCCTTTACATAAAATTATTCTAATCAAGGTAGACTTAAAATAAATGCTACAAAAATGTTTATGCGGTTTACTAAAATAATTGATACTTTTTGTGTGTTTTATTGCTTAAATTACGACGATTGATTCTTTTGTTTGTGGATTTTCTTTCTTCTTGTCTTTTTTCGTTATTTCGTTAAAGAAGTTGGTGTTGTTGCTGCTGTTGTTGTGGTTGTCAGAGGTGTTGGTACTTGTTGTTGGAGCGAGCGGGGATATTTTTCTTAACATATAACGACCGAAATGTGAACGAAAAAATTTAAACAAAACACCTGCAAATCTTTTGTTATTTTTACATATTTACGTTTGCAATTACTAAACATTTTTATTCAACATTAATACCACGCTTTTAGACAATACGACTTTTCTCAATTGACCACAAACAATGTCTTATTATACATAAAAATTAAAAAATAATTAGCACAAAATTTTTGCTTTGTCTTCTAAAACTTTTCACATACACTTCTACAAGATAAAAAAATTGGGATAGAGTTACCAGATCCACATTAAAATTACAGACGATAAGTATTTTACTGTATTCACAGTGATTTGTTCTTTTCTCTAACAGATTTGCATTTTATGGAACAAATTTGGAATATACAATATATGTTAGTAAAAAATATATTTTATTCTATTAAGGACTTCAGGTAATTTTCATTACTTTCCCTGGTTACTTGATTCATAACAAACCCAACTAAAGGCTATCTATTTGTCACAATAATTTTTTATTCAATCTTTTAAAACACACTGCTACATATAACCAGTCATCGCCATGCAACATATTAATATTATCACGAGTTTCGGCAGTGTAAACGCAGGGCATTCAAACATTTATGCGACATTAATAACAAATTGTAAATACATATCGAACCAAAGATGTCCAAACCAAATCGGGAAGTAAATAGTAAACACTTATTCCAACCATGATAAAATTCCTTCCAATCATCATGAAAATCTCCTCGACCATTACAAAAATCTCCCCGACCATTGTGGAAATCTTCCCGACCATGATAAAATTACTTCCAACCATTTATTTTGGATATACACGTGAAAATTTTTTGTCTTTATTTCCTTTTTAAGAATTCACTTTATCCTTATAATCGGGCATGATTAATATTTTAATAGATGTCGATAATCTAAATAATTTTAAAAAACAAATCTTATAGTTTCTTCTTTTTCTCTACCTGTATTTCTCTTGTTCCCTTTTGGAATTTCACATGAAATATAACTAAATTTATAAATTCCGCATATAATATATCATTTCGAATCTCAACTATTTTGTCATATGAAATTCGATCTTTTTGTACGATTTAATTAATAAGACGGATGCAGAGATAAAATTTACAAATTGATTTCATTCATTCATTTAGCTTATACGGGATATAAAATTTTGAAACTACCTTTTATTACTTTCCGTAAAGCAGTCTTTTCTTTTTTTGTATTATTATTACAAATTATCTCTTAAGTATTCCCAAAAACAAAAAAGAACATTCTTTATATTTGTTGTTATTAATTTTTTTTAGAAATATATTAACGGCTCATTTAAAAAAGGTTAGTATATTTTTGTGTTATAAACAAAATTGAAATTAGTTAAAAAATCAAATAAGTTTTACTATTGTTTTTTTAATTTTTTTTATAAATATATATCTAAAAAGATTTAAAAATTGAAAGCGCGCGGCTTAAGGCTTGTTGAAATGTCAGTAATCTTGGAAGGATTTGGGTACAAAGCTTAAATACGCATTAAAAAGCAAAAGTAAACATCAACTAAACTTTTTTAAGGTTTCGTCTAAAGTTTCACCTCTTTTTTCCGCTAAACGCTCTCAATCGACCGAATTGTCCCGTTTCTTACATTTTCTTTCTCTCTCTCTCTCTGTGGTATCTTCATTTTTTCCCCTTTTATTGGGATATTCCAAATTGGTTTTAAGTTCGGCTGCTTTGGCTCCAACTTTTTTCAATTTATGTAAATATCTTATTACAGGATGTAGAACACTAGATACTAAACACTTTCACCACAATCAACGCCGGTTTTATTTATTTGAAAGATGGAATTGAAACTCATTTAAATTTAGGTCAATTTTTAAAATATTCACTTCTCTCATTTGTACACGATTTCATGACGTCAACAAAACAAAATTCTTTAAGAATTAATTGTTATTAAACCAACTTGTAATATAGAACATAGAACATAGTTTGTAGAATGTAGTTTGATCATAATTCATCAAAGTTAGCGGTTTGTAGAATATATTTAGATCATAATTCATCCAAGTTAGCATATGTAGTATACTGTATGGCGGCGCGAATTTTGAATGAAAACTACATCGCCTTTAGCAACTGACGCTGTTGATGATTTATAACAACATTGCCACATTTTACAACGTTAATTATGATTTTTATGTTAATAATTATTAGCAAAATTCAAAAACAAGCAAAAACGGTAGTACATTTACAACACAACCACATTCGGTACTACTCTTACAGCAACAGACACACGCGGTACTATTTTTACAGCAACAACCACACACGGTTCCAGATTTACAGCAAAAAAATATACACGGTACTACTTTTACAGCAGCAAATACATATACACAAAAATAGTGGTTTTATTAGTGGTTTTAGTGACCACCATTTGTAAAATCAACAAGAAAAGTAATTGCTTCTCAGCAACGACAAACTGTCAGAGTTTTTTTTATCGTGTAAACACAAATTAAAATCTGCGAAGAATCTAATAAATAAAAAAGATTTAAAATAAGTAAAATTTTGCAGACAAATAAAAACTATAATTAATTTTAATGTTTCATTAATAGAACAGGTGCGTAATCGATTTGATTGCCCTGAAAATGTGGCTCAAAATATTTCCTAATTTTGCTGGGTGAAAATTTTTCTTGCGTCGTTCTGTATCCACATTTATAATGTATATATGTGGCGGCTGTGCACAGTGATATACATATATATAAATATCTATATATTTATGTATACATCTACGCAATGTTAACCATTTTTCTATGTAAAGTAAATGACGTAAAACTATAATTGCTTTGGATTTTCTTTGCTTCTTATAGTTATCTAAAATTTGAAATAAGAAAATAAGGTAAATATGTTTGACTCAACGCAGGAGATTAGTTTAGAAGTTTGGCAGCAGTGGATTTTAGATGCAATTTCCAAAATACGTTCGCAAAAGCAAAGGCCCAGTGTACAACGTATTTGTCAAGCAATTGGTACGCACCATAAATTCCATGAAGACATTGTGGCTGAAAAGTTGGAGCAAATTGTAGAAACTGGAGCTGTTATTAAAGTTTATAATAAAGGTTTGCATTCTTATAAGGCACCGATGGCGAAACGTGTTATTCGAGTGGAAAAAAATACAAATTTGTGCAAAGTTGTTGCTCGCGCGGTGCACGATTTAGGCGAATGCGAAGGTTCATCAATTAAAAGTATTGAAAATTACATTCAAAAGTTCAACACTATTGAAATGATTGGTGAGGCCGATTATAAAACGGTCATAAAACAGTCGATCAAGAAAGCTGTTGAAGCCGGTTTTCTTATACAGGAAGGAAAGCTTTACAAGAAGGGACGTTCTTTGACCACACCAAGAAACTCCAATGCTTCAGCCGACGTTCCAGTTCAAATAGTAAGTTGTCGCTGCAATTTTTAACTTAATTTTTGAGAGAGAAAGAGAGAGAAACTGGGAGTTAAATATCAAAATTTATCTCTCTATTTATCTATTAAGTATCAAAATTCTTGCTCTTGGATTCTCCGGCTACAAATATTATTGAATGTCTTTAACATTATTTTTATAATTTTATAGGGCAATGATGTCTGTAAACATTGTTCGGGTAATGCACAAAAGAACTTAAATGGCATACCGGAACCTTTAAGCTCTTGTAAACAATGTGGCATTTCATTGCACACAACTTGCGCTAATATAGCGGCCAAGTGTAAGACACAATCTTTTGTATTACTTTATATGTTGGTAACGAAGGGAACTTCATGGTATTGTGAAAACTGCGTTAAGTGTAATGTGTGCGGCAAAGGCAACAAGGGTCCTTGCTTATTGCAATGTTATGTGTGTCAGAAAAATTATCACCTAAGTTGTTTGGATACGATACCCGACAAAAAACCTAAACATCCATATCGTTGCAGTACCTGCTTAAAATTAAATACCGATGTCTTTCGAATGGCTAAGGGTAAAGAAACTCAGAAAAAGTTAGTTATGACGAAGCAAAGGTATTTATCAAGTTTCTTTTCAAAAAAAAATTATTATTTCTTACATTTTTCACAATTCTAGAAATTCTAACACCGGTTCACCCAGGCAACAAGCAGCGAATACTTCTTCACCTTCAAATCGGACTAATAACGTTACTTGTACTTCCAGCACTACTCCTACTAGCTCACCGGAAAAATATTGGCCAGCCGGTCGTCAGCAACGAGGTTCGAACAGTAAAACTCCAATCAAATCACAGGCTGTAATGTTTGAAAATCATCCTTCTACTACAGCGATGGCTAGAGCTAGAAACTTGAATGCTGAGGAAACATTGAAACAGCATCTGTCTGCTTATCATGAAGCAGCTGCTTCGTTAAAGAATCGTAATAGTCGTAAGCGCACTTTATCAAATCTTTCCTCATCGAGTTCATCAAGCGACAGCGACGACGAGCAGAATAACGGTGATGAAGATCCGGATAACGATGATACAACTTCTTCAGATTCTTGTTCGTCAACAACAAGCAGTGGATCGGATTCTAGTGAAAGCAGTTCGGATAGCTCAGATTGTGATGACAATGACGACGATAATGACGACGATGATTACGATTCTGAGCATAGTGATTCCAAATCTAACATGATGTTAAGTCAAATATTTAAAAAACAAAAATGCGATAGTTTGCTAAGTACTACTTTAAAAAATAAACAACAATCGCAACAAAATGTCGCGCATGGTGGTCTCCAACAACATCATCAACCACAAAAAGAAGAGGAATGGGGCTTTGCGGCTGTTGCCAAAAGTCATGCAGATATTTTCTCTCAAAACAATAACAGTAGCACTGCAAAAGATTCCAACAAGGAAATGAAAGCAGTAAAAAAAAGAATCAGCGAACATTTTGCACCTTCAGCAAAAGATAATAAAAACCACACTTTGATTAGTCATTCGCAGCAACAACAGCTAAAACAACAGCAAAATATTAGCACAACTCCAGCAAAAGCATCGCCCAATAGCACTAAGTCGTCATTGTCGGAACAGAAACCTTCAATGATGATTAAATACAAACCTAAACCACACCAGGTAATCACAGAAGGCTTAAATAAGAAATCCAATCAGCAACCCATTCAGAAGAAAGCAGTTTTATTGAAATCTATGCCGTTGGATAAAAAGGACTTACAAAAACCACCAGAGGAAGAGGATGATGAAGAAATTCCATATCTTTCACAGAAAAATGTTATTAAATATAAACTATTAGAAGATATTACTTTGGCAAAGTGTCAAGAGAAACAGTGTGAGACAGTAACAAATAAAGAACCAGAAGAGCGAAAACCGTGGGAGGTCGATATCGATGAAAATCCATTTGATTCGCAACCACTGCCTAATGGTGTGACTCAAGCTGACGTGGACATTTATAAGAGGATTCGTGAGCGCGCTAAATTAGCCATAACTGGAGCTCTAGAAAGTCCAAGTAAACTTATAGCAAAACCATCTCTCGTTCATTCTCAACCGGATCGCTGTCCAGGATCAATAGAAATCGGCAAATGGCACATAGAAACCTGGTATTCAAGCCCATTTCCACAGGAATATGCCAGGTCTTAATATCGTTTCATAATTTAAGAATTGTTGTTCAACAAGTAAGTGACCGCCATTATTCAATGGAAAAGAATTCAAAACTTGTTAAAATTCAGGGATATGAACCGTAAAATTTGAAAGACGAGAACATTCTTCTCGAATTTGTTAAAATTTACCATAGATCGCTTTCATTTAACGCTTTAAAAATTTCATCTACAATGCAAGTCTGTCGCACAGTCAATCTCCTCTTTATATCCATGTTGCATTCGGTTGTTTTCTTGTTGAACGAACAGAAAAATACTCTAAATTTTGTCTAAATTTCATTTCGTTTAACAAGTTTTCTTTATTGATTTCTCCCCCAATGCAGATTAACTAAATTGTACTTGTGTGAGTTCTGTTTGAAATACACTAAAAGCCGTTCGGTATTGGATCGGCATCAGAATAAATGTACGTGGAAGCAGCCGCCTGGCACTGAAATTTACAGACATCAGGATTTATCAGTATTCGAGGTCGACGGAAACATAAATAAAATTTATTGCCAAAATCTTTGCTTACTGGCCAAATTGTTTTTGGATCATAAAACTTTGTACTACGACGTGGAACCGTTCCTGTTTTATGTACTCACCAAAAATGACAACAAGGGTTGTCATTTGGTAGGCTATTTCTCGAAAGAGAAACATTGCGCTCAAAAATACAATGTTTCCTGCATCCTGACAATGCCACAATTTCAAAGGCAGGGTTTTGGCAGATTTCTTATTGACTTTAGTTACCTATTAAGCCGCGAAGAAGGTCAATTAGGCACACCGGAAAAGCCCCTATCCGATCTCGGACGTTTATCGTATTTCTCGTATTGGAAGTCAATTATATTGGAATACATGTACGATCACCGTAATGATGAGAAAATTACATTTCACGAAATCGCCATGGAAACCGGTCTGACAGTGTCCGATATTGCGTTAGCTTTGGAGTTGCTCAATTTCATCAAGCTGCGTAAAAATGAACACGATATACGTTATCAAATCAATATAAAAGTAGATTGGCAAAATGTCATAGGTCATCAGGAGAGATTGAGAAGGCGTAATAATCGCATCTTAATTGAACCTGAGCGATTGCGTTGGAGTCCTTTGCTTAGTAATCTTAAGAATACTTCTTTAGATCAATCAGGGGGTAGACAAAGTTTATCTCCTCGTAAGAATAATTTACAAAAATTTGACGATAACAAAAGAGAATTAAAAGAGAAAACTTATAAAAAAGAGACGATGGGAAAATGTAAACCAATCGGCAGAGTTGGCAAACATAAAGCAGAAATTAAAGAAAAAGTACCGGAGCCTGCAAAGGAGAGTGCAGCGTATAGCAAAAAAGCAACAGAAGCGAAGAACAGAGCGGGAAACTATAAAAGTGTCAATGGGCAAGAAAAGACGGGAAATTTATTTCCTGAACTGAAAGGAATAAATGATACTAAAAGAATTACAAACGTTACAACGACTCCAACAACGAAACGTAAAAGAGCTTATAGTTCTCCTTCTACTGCCCCAATAGATATGAAGGTACCAGAAGTGAAAAAACAGAAACCCGAAAACCATAATGAGGAAAGCATGGACTTAGAACCACCTTTAGAGGAAAGCAAAGCCACAGAAAATGCAAATAAGCAATCAGAGGAAAATGCAGCCGCTAAAATGGAAGCAACAGAAAATCATAAAGTAGCACCTGCCCCTTCTTCTAGTAGAGCCCAGCGATTGGCAAATCGCAAGCAATCGACACCTCAACCCTTAAAGAGGAAACACGAGGAACCAGCAGAGGTAGCTGCTGAAACATTACAATCAAAACCTAGTGAAGAACCTAAACTGAAGGAAGACACAGTGAAGAAATTTGCTGACTTAAAGGAGGACACAGCAAAGGAATCTTCAAAATCTCTCAAAACAACAAATGAAACGGAAAAGATTAAACAAAATACAACCGAACTTCAGGTGGAGCCTAAACAATACGACAAACGGGTACCGAATTTATTTCCGAAATTACGTGCCAAGAATTCCGGTAAAATAAACGATGAGACTATCAATGACATCGACACTGATGTTAAAGACTCATCAAAAGAGCAGGAGACCCCAATCGAAGTCACTAAAATGGAGGTGCAGCCTCCTGAGGTGGTTACACAAACTGCACCAACAACAGCACCTATCAAAGTGGAGCCAGTACCACAACAATTGACAACCATAGCTAATAGTGTCATTAAGTCTACCGAAGCCGAAGATAAGGTCTTAGAAGCGGTGGCTAAAAAGACCAAAAAGACTTCGTATCAAGACAATGATTTAGAACGTATGAAAACTGAAGTCGTTACAATGCCAACCTTTGTACCCACGCAAGCAACGGCTCCTTCAAATATCGAATCAAACAAAGAAGAGGCTATGCCAGTTGTAATATCACAAAACATTGCTAGTACTGTTGTATCGGAAGAAGAGCAAGTCAAACCACAACAAGTGCAGGAAATTTCTGCGGTAGAAAGTGCTAAAGAAAATGATAAAGCCGTACTAACACCAGCGTCGGTGCTTACGTCATCAGCGCAGACATTATCAACAATAACAACAAGCGAAGCAAGTGAGCTAATTAACGAAACTACTAAAACATCAGCAAATAAAACCCACGACGATGTGAAGGAAAAGTTAGAAAATCCTTTGAAGTTCACTTCCGCAGCATCGCCGCCTGCAGTGCCAATAATGACACTTAACAGTGTCGATATTACACAATCGTTATCTTTACAAAAAGCAGAAAATTGTGAACTAAAGCAGGAATCGGTTAGTCCCGTTAACACCGCGGAATCAACAATGAAACCTTCGTCTCTTAGCGTTGATATTCCAGTACGTCAAGAGCCTGTTATCACACGTAATGAAACCAAGCTAAACGTAAGCCCTAAGTTGCCGGAAAAAATAAGCGAAAGTAAGGCTTCACCGGAAAGTATACCGAAAACTGAAATCAAATTAACAACCCACGCCGCAGGCGTTGTTAGTAATCAAAACAAGGTTGAGCCTCCACAAATCACT